GGATTTATGTGCCTCAAACTGCTGTTTACAGCTGGACATCTCCTCTGTTATAGTGGGTTTATAGGGTGAATTACAGTTTCTGGGAGGCTTTCTGGAAATCTACAGGGAAGTTAGAATGAGTGCTTCTAACCAGCTCATTTGGCCTCCAGGATGGATTAGGTAGATACAGGCTGGGATAGGCAGCTCCTCTACGTGTGTGCAGGGAGGGCAGGGCTCCCTTCTGCACAGCACCAAGGTGGCCAATGTTTGTGTGTAGGCATAAATATCAGTCCCATGGTTCAGGTTTAAAGGCAGAGGTACAATTGTGGTGTAACTGTGAATTTGTGTTTATTGTATGACACAGAGCCCGAGCTTTTGGAAGGCCAGGAACTGTTTTTTGGAGTGCAGATGAAGAAATGTGTTAGAAGAGCAGTATTTTTGACATATATTTTATCACCCACTCTCTAGGGAGCAAAGCCCTTTAAGCTGTTTCCAACTGAACACTCCAGAAATCAAATGGGAAAGGTTCTTAGTTATTTCTGAACACCTAAGACAAAAATATGCTGGACTTCTGTGCATGTTCATTTTCCTAGTGTTGACACCTTCCTCCTTGAAACATGCACTCAGTCCTGTACTCTCTCTTAGATATTAGCAAAAACTTTGGAATAAATATTGGATGTAATTGCCCAGATGCTCCAATTTTGGCTTTTAGCAGAAAATTGGTACACATTTAATATTTGTAATTTTTTTGTTTTGTTCAAGTCAAAAAATGAGAAGGAAAGGTGTCTTTGGCATGGTACTGATTCAGCATGGGCTGGAAGACAGATATTGGGTATGCCCCATGCTCCAGCACAGTAAATGCCTGGGATGGTGTCTTTGTTACTGTCTTTTCGTAAATCAATGCAGCAACCTGTCAAAAATTGGATGTGAAAACACTGAAGTGGCTTACCCTGTGTAAGAGAGCTAGGACTGTAGTGTTCCAAAGAGTCTGAAATCAAAAAGACTAAAAACAGGGGCTCTGAGCTGCCAGCACTTTGTTGTCTAAGGGGCATTAAACTCTTCTGCAGACTCCAGGGGCAGGGGCACAGTTTCTTGTGGGAGCCAGTCCTGAGTCTGCTGGACCACAGTGCCTCTGCCTGGCTGCCTCAGTGGAGCCAGATGGATCTGTGCTAAACTAAATATGAAGGAGAAAAAAAGAAAATGAAACCTGAAGGAACATTGTGTGACAAGTAGGGGGTCAGTCAAAGCTGTCTTTGTTGTCCAAATTGTACTGGCAGAAAGAGTAAAGATAACGGGGTTTTGGCTAAGTCTTGTAATATTACAATGTGAAATAAAATGTTAGGTGCCTCTCATCTCTGTGCTGCCAAGAACAGAGGGAAAAATACTCCAGTAAAAGACGTGCAGGTTGTGAAACAGTGAACATGCCCTCCTATGCTAGCGTGATATGCTAAAACGTGGTCTAAACAGCCCTGTTAGTCATTATGGTCCTCTGTAAAAGCAGTTTTCTCCTGAGAGGTGTCAGCTCAAAATACAAGGTCTTGATCTTTAATTCTAATCCCTCTGGGCAGACCTTTCTGTCAGCCTGAACCCCTTTGATTTCAATAACCCTTTATGGTTCTGGACTAACCAGTCCAGCTGGGAGTTTAGATTCCTACTACTCACTGATATAGTAGCTTTTTGAAAAACAAAAGCTGAAACCCTTAGCCTCAAATGGTATGGGTTCTTTGTTTTGGTGTTTTTGTTTGGTTGGGTTTTTTTGTTGTATGTTTTTCTTTCTCTTTTTCTTTTTCATTTTCTGCTCTCCTTTGTGTAGTTCTTGGTTCCAGTCTTTCTGATTCTTTCTCTGTTGATTGCAGATACTGACATTTTATTTTTGGATCATGTAATGAAATAAATACAGCAGGGTGGTAAATTAAACTTCACAGGTAATTTCAGACTGGAGACTCCAGCCAGTGTATCTTCTTTTGAGGATACAACTCCACTTGACCCATGAGGGCATCTCATTTTGTGTCTGTAGAGGATGGTAGCTTGGCCAGATAGAAAGCATCCCATGGCACTTTGCACCTGTAAATACCCCTTGCAATAATGTAGGTGGGTTCTGTAGCACCATCACCCGTTTTACCTTCAAAGACTGATAAAAAGTCCTTGGGAACAATAACTCCAGTGAGGAGCAAACTTTGGAGATAAATGGTACATTGACTTTGCCATTTGCATTTACTGTGCAGCTTGAGATGACTTTTAATTATTCAAAAGAGGCAGAATGTTAGTCACATCTATCTTTGTTCTTCCCCCTAAAGCAAATCCACTCTGTAAATCTTCCTGTGACCACTATACCAATATTTCCCTGGTATAGCTCCTCTGATATTTACCTCATTTTTTTTCTTTCTTGTGAATTTTTTGCTAGATTTTTGACATGCAACAGAATTCAGCTACACTGAGGTGTTTTCTTATCAGCTGTCTCAGAGCAGATTGATCAGGTCTATTCATGTAGCGAATAAGGAGAGGAATGTAAACACTTTCCAGTGCTACAGACACATATCTAGAAAAATGATGTAGCAGTTAAACAGCCTTATCAACATGAACATGGAGAAAACTCCATCATATTTGTTCATGTTAGGAAAAACTGGATGTTCAGTGTCTCAGCCCACACACACATACCTGGCAAGGGGGTTGGGAGGGAAGGTAATTCCTCAGTGTGTTTAGAAACATGATCTCTATATTTCTTCCCTTTGGCATCCACTGCTGCCATCAGCATGGGCACCTTCTTTCTCCTTTTCTTTAAAAGACAAGAGTTTTTGTTCATTACAATATTAGCCAGCTTTTTGGAAAATGCTCTGTGAGAAATATGCAAAGCAGTAGGGAACTGAGTGTTCTTGCTGTCGGATGACAAATGTTTTTGGCCAGTAGGTTTAAGCATAGAATGGCATTTGCATTTAGGGGCTTTGAAGGAAATAATGGAAACCCTACAACCCTAACCTACAAACTGTGTATCAGTTTTTCCTTCTGTAAAGTGGTGACTACAACCCCTTCATATTTTGATTGCTAAGGAATGAGGTGTTTCATCTTGCACATGCTCCAAGTAGGAAAGTTTCAAATTTTTATTTAATATCTGTGAAGAATCCTGGGGAAAAAAAGGGAAAAACGAGAGGAAAGGAAAAAAAATCCCACCATTTCTTAACAGGAGTTTTAAACACAGCAAACCATTTGGTGGTGCTAAAGTTACAAAAGATGAATCCTGACAGACCTACTCTGACAAAATGTGCAGAATGCGGCCAGATGAGATATGACAACAAGTACAAATTATAGCAGTGGCAAACCAGTAAACATGGAAATCTGAGTAAATCAGTCATTTCAAATCTATTTGCCAAACTGTGTTTATCCTCTGCAAAACCTCATGATCTCCATAGGAAGCACTTCAGAGCAATCTCTGCAGGGCATTTGCTGGGTGGAGTAAGGATCAAGATATTCCACAGCAGCCTTTTTGCAGACAATACATCTCATCTTTCAGCCTAATTGAAATGAACAGTGATGATACCTGCATTTTTTAGTTTTCAACTTGAGTACCCACTTCCCACTTTGAAATTGCTACACAGGAAGACATTGAATACTGGGGATAGATAGATTAAACACTTATGGTTTAACAGTTAAAAACTGATTACATTATTTTGTTTGTGTGTTTATTTCTCATCCCTAAACTACACGGATATCTTGGTATTTTGCTGCTAAAAGAGCATTTTGTACAGATGTCAGGTTGATTTTTTTCCCTGTGGCATCACCAGTACACTCCCATCAATTTCAATGCAGTCCCTCTTGCATGTGACAGTGCAGAGTTTGTCCTGCAATCTGTAATCTTTCTTGCTTTTTCTTGCTGGTCCACATTCCTCAAATTGAGAAAGTACTTCATTTAGTGGTGAGCCCTATGAAAGAACAAGACTAGATTTTTTAAGTTTTCTTTTTTTTTCTTTTTCCTTTTTTTTTTTCTTTCTTTTTCCCCCCAGATCTCTTTTAATCACATAAGTGTAGCCCTGGATTTGTGAGCTGGTTACAGAGGTCCTCAGTGATGAAAGCTGACATGGGCCAGTTAGCCTTTTAAAATATATTCTGTAACTAGGGCAGAATAATTGCATTCAAAATCCATGTTTAACATTCATTTACAGGCTTACAATGAGGCACACTGTATGTGCCATTCCCTAATTTGTACCACTCCGGGAACATTCTCCTTGTCTCAGCACTTCACGTTGGGTTTTGTAGATAGAAGTTGAAGATCTGAGCGCAGACCTGTTTCTGCCTCAGACTTCCTGCATAACCTTGGGCCAATTACTAAACTTCTGTGTATCAGTTTTCCCTTCTGTAAAGTGGTGACTACAATACTTGTCACAGAGGTACCTCGGGCTGAGCAGATTGAGATGTGGATGGAATATATCTTGGTGTTAACATGGTATTCACTTTTCAGTAGACTCACCAGAAATCTTCTTTTTTCTGTTCTTCTTCCCTCTGTCTCCTTTCTTTTTAGGACAAGCAAGTAATGCCTCATTTGCCCCTTCAAGATGGAGCACGAAGGAATATTGGGTCAGACTGATGTCCATTTGGCCCTCATTCACCCTCTGCCATCCCCTGTGCCGTAGATGATTTCATGGGAGCCCCTGGTGGTCTAGTGGTAAGGGCGCGGCGCTGTCACCACTGAGACCTGGGTTCGATTCCCGGTCAGGGACACTCCCCGGGCCAGATGGAGCTCGTTAGCCCTTAAAGGCAACCCATCTACATCCTGAGGACCTCTCTGCCACCGTCCAAGCTCGCTTGGCCCCAGCAGATGAACCTTAGGATTAAAGGGTGGGCTCAGTTCCGCGCACACTGTGTCTCACCTAAAAAATCCAATGCGCAGGCTGAAAGGTGTAAAGACCTTCCCCGGATCTTCGCTCGCGAAGACTGGCCATTATTATTATTATTATTATATGATTTCATGGTCTCCTGCCACATTCCTTCTCAACCTCCTCCTTTCCAGACAAATGGCACTACTCCAATGCCACTGATCTATGCTGGGCAGCTGTTCTGTGGCTGTGATCAGCCTTGCTGAACTTCTCTGAGGGTTTGCTATGGACTTTTCCTGACAGATGCCTAGAAATGTATGTAGTGTCCAAGATGTAGGGGAATCAAACCTTCTTTATTCTGTTCTTTCTGTTTAGCTACTTATAATGAACATTGAACTATATTTTCATCAGTTATCTATGAGTGTATCCTCAGCACATATGCTGATGACAACAAGCTGAGTGGTGTGTTTGATACGTCTGATAGATGGGATACCATCCAGAGGGACCTGGACAAGCTTGAGAAATGGGCCCGTGGGAACCTCATGAGGTTCAATAAGGCCAAGTGCAAGGTCCGGCACCTGGGCTGGGGCAAATCCTGTTACCAATACAATCTGGAAATGTGGGATTAAAAGAAGCCCTGCCAAGAAGGACTTAGGGGTACTGGTGGATGAAAAACTGGACAGGAGCTGGCAATATGCACTGGACTCACAGCCCAGAAAGCCAACTGTATCCTGGGCTGCATCAAGGGAAGCGGGGCCTGCTGGTCAAAGAAGGTTATTCTGCCCCTCTACTCCATCCTTGTGAGACCTCATATGGAGTGCTGCGTCCAGCACTGGGGGCTGCAACAGAAGAGGGACACGGACCTGTTAGGGTGAGTCCAGAGGAGGGTCACGAAAAGATCAGGATGGAGCACCTCTCCTCTAATAAAAGGCTGAGAGACTTGTGATGGTTTAGCCTGGAGGAGAGAAAGATCCAGGGAGACCTTATTGCAGACTTCTAATACTTAAAAGGGGCTTACAAGAAAGATGGGGGCAAACATTTTAGTAGAGCTTGCTGTGATAGGACAAGGACATGATTTTAAACTAAAAGAGGGTATATTTAGACTAGATATAAGGAAGAAAGTTTTGACAATGAGTGTGCTGAACCACTGGAATAGGGGGGGCAGTTGCCCCATGCCTGGGAACATTCAAGGTTGGATGAGGCTCTGAACAACCTGGTCTAGTTGAAGATGTCCCTGCTTATTTTGTAGGTGCTGGATTAGATGGCCTTTGAAGGTCTCTTCCAAACCAAACCATTCTCTAATCTACCAAGAACCCAAGATCTTAATAGTAATGGGGGGTAAGCTCAGCTCAGAGACCATCACTTTATAAGCAAGGCTAGGATTGTGGGATTTTTTTTAGCCATATATTTCACTCCACATTTACCTACACTGCATTTCACCTGTCATTTTATTGCTTGGTCACTCAGTCTGGTAAGGTCTTTTGAAAAGGGTCTTCATAGACAATTCACCCTTAGTACACTGAATACTTTTCTTTCATAACTTATCACCAAGTTTCTTCAGAAAACTTTACCAATCCATTACCTTTCCACCCCATTTCTCTTTCCTTCACCTCTTTCCCCCAGCACTTATGAATATGTTGGACAGCACAGACCCAACACAGCCCAACTCCCTGGAGAGCTCTTCTAGTGTCTTCTCACCCATGCATGAGCTGACCTTTTACTGGTACCTGGGTTTCCTGTGCCTTAATCAATTAATAATTCAAACAAGGGGTTTTATTCTTATGCAATTGCAGCTTAGTTTCTGTAAAAGCCTGTGGAATCAGACTTTGTTAAAATTCATTAGGAAGGTAGATTATAACAGTGGATCACCCCTATCCATGTATTTGTCCCCTTTGAAAAGCTCCAATGGGAGTTTGAGACTTGGTAGTATTGAAGTTTGAGTAAATGATGTTACACAAATATCAAGTATTAATGCTGTTGTAGCAGCCTTAACAGAGGCTCTTTGTTTTCCTTCTTTGTGTTAGTGTCTTTTTTCTACCTTTGAGGACCAGAGTAGAAGAGTAAATATCTCTTCACCTACCTTGTGGACGCTTGGCTGCCTCTGTCTCATATTTGCTTCTGCCATCTCAGCCTCCACACTTTGCAAGTTGCCCCACATCCTGCACATTTCCTAACCTAGTGACAGGCTCCAAACCTCACTGCAAGAGGAAACGGGCCACACTGGGGAAAAAAAAGTTGTATTGTTTTGGGGGGTTTGCTTGTTTTAAACAGAAAGGGAAAACTCATCTGAAATTACCGACTACCCTTATCACCCACTTAGTGAAGGATGGTGATGTCATCACCAGGTTGTACTCCAAAATAGTGTTTTGGACACTGATCAGTTCTGAAGCATCAACAGCGTTTCAGAATATGGTGCACAAAATCTGTCTATGTGCATAAACGCTGCAGGTTAGTGATGTCTTCCTAATACATGACCCCAGGGTATTGCAACTATTTTACCTCAAGGCAGGATCTATCTGAAGGAGGAAGTGGAAAAGGGAACAAGACTTTTTGAAACTGAAAAATGCCCTGCTGAAGCTTGATCCCAAGATATAGAGAAATCTTCAACAATCCTGTAGATCATGAGGTCTGATGGAAAATCTTAGAATATTTGAAATTTTATATCAAGTACATGGAGATGTTTATTATTGAAAAAATGTACTTATGTACACTTTGTGTATACACATGAGATTTTTATCTCATGTACATGCATGAGATTTTTATCTATTCTCTCATATAAAAAATTATGAGGAAGGGAGGGCCTCTAGTGTACCAAAGCACTGCTTTCTTAGAGGGCTGCTTTGTTCAATTTCCCAGCTGACCTGCTGTACTATGACCAACACCAAGAAACCTATTTGTGGAGAACTCATGAAAAGCTGAACTGAAAAGCCTAAACATGTTTCTGTTTGATCCCTTAATTAAAAACCATATCCTAGATGCCCAGTTTCCCTGCCTTTCATGTGACACACAGTAACAATTTCTGATATTTTCCTGAGGAGAAAATGAAATCATCACTGGAATCAGATCAGACCTTTTCATAGTTCCTTATCCCATTTTCAAGTTTCCTCTAAATTTATTTCCATAAAGATAATATTTAGAGATTTAGATCGTTTCTGCTGGCAAATGATGCCATGCCCCAGTCTAGTGGGAAACTTTCAGAGTGGTATGATTCACTGACGTTGTACTCCAGATTTATATCCCCTGGTTTCTGTATGGTACCTTCAACCAGCGTTTTCCAACAGCAGAGACCAAACCTCCCTAGACCTTGATGTGAGCAACAAGCAGCAAGAAACACACAATCACACAGCAGGACATTGCCTCACACAAAACCTTCATATCCATAACGAGAGGTTTATTGCAAAAAACATTTGTTCATGTTTTTTTTTATTTTTTTTTTAAAATGAGGATTTAATTCCTCATTTAGTTTTTTTTCCTTGGGAAGCAACTGTTTCACAGACACACCATTATTTCCCTCACCCTTGCTGTGGGAATGGTTTGCTACAAATATGGATCTCAGTCTCCCTGCCTTGCTCAGATAGCCTCTTTAAAACCATGAGCTGCATGAGTAAGTAAAACAAATTGAAGTCATAAAATGGAGTCCATGTCTGGTGAGTGCCAGTCGCTGTATCAGCACCTGCTGACTGCTCCAATGCAAATTTTTATTGCATTCCCATCCATTTCTAGCGTTTGGCTTCTGCGGCATAATCCTCCCGGTCCTGAGCCACGATGAACCTCCTGTGCTCCCTTGCTCCCAGCAGACCAAAAAGCAGTTCTGCTTCTATTGTCTGGCTGACAGCACTCCATGATTTCTGCACTGCACTGGATTTTCAAACAGACACTGACTTGCAAGCCCATAGATATTTTTTTTTCCCAGACACGAATACGTATTAATAAAGCGGAGTTTGTTATTGCTGAATATATCAATGACATTTGTCTCAAAATTGTCGCTTTGATTGGAAAAAGCCCTGGCAAAGGCCTCTCTGAAATGCATCTCAGGCTGTGCCGAGCAAGATGTGTGCTCGGTTTTGTGCTGGGGCACTGTGACAGAAGAAAGAAACAATTATCTCAACACTGCCAATGTAATAGCTTTTGCTTATTCTTCAGCAAAAGCATAAGGGCCAAGTCCCCAAACATTGAAGTCAAGGGAAGGATTCATGTTGCTTCACTCAGCTTTGGATCAAAGCCACTGTGCAGAGGCATGATTTTGCAGTAGGTTGAAAAGAATATACCTTTTAAAAAAAAAAATCTAAAGAATAAGAACATGGATATGCTATTTCTAGCCCATCTCTGCTGAAATAATGAGAGTGGGGAAGTCTGGAGAAAATTCAGATAAAGACATTTGGAAAAATTTGAAAAACTCATCCAAACCCAGAGTTTTAGGGTGACTGACACTATTCACGAGTTTGTGGTGAATTTGAGAAATAGGCTGGGCAAAGGAAATAGCAGGGGGGCATTTGTCTACAACACATTGTTAGAAAAATAACTTTTGATTTAGAAATGTCTCATAATGCAATTAAAAAATAATATAGCAACATTGGCTTGACCCAAATGCACTGTAGTAAATGCTCCCCTTCCCCCAAATCATCCTTTTACCTCCTTCTCCAATTTCCTAACTTAGCCATCAAAGGAAGGCAGGAGGCTAATTGCCCAGCTGTGATTGTAAGGAAATGATTCAAACACCACAGTCGCTGTTGCCTCCTTTGTGGCTGAGCCAGAGAAGTGAGCCGTGTGCACTCCCATTAACTGGTAGACTAATCATTTTTTGCTGCTTGTTATGGAAAGCAGTGCACATGGATGTGTCTGTTTAGTGGGATGAAGTTCTGAGAGTGCTTTTTGGTTCCTGTGGCTTTCATCCTTGGTGCCAGGGTTTTCAGCCCTCAGTGGGAAGAATTAAGGTGCTTCCTTTTCTGGCTTTCTCGAAAGGCAGATTGTTTATTACACCTGGATGCAAGTTAAGCTGTCTGCCTTTGTGGAGACAAAGAAAATGAGAGTGAGCTTCACTGTAGGAACAAAAGCTCCCTGAGGTTGGAAAGACTGGCTCTGGATAAATGTACAGTGGGCTGGGGGTGTGAGTGTGTGAAAGCAGGCTGCCTTCTCATGCAGCCAAAGGGCTCTCAGACCCATCTTTAACCATGCCACTGCTCATCACTCCTATGGAATGCTCTTGGCAGGAGTGGAGAAGTAACATCTCCATCAACATGACCCTCACCGTGCTGGGTGCACCCTGTCTCTATCACTTCATTTCACTCCCCATCTTCTCTTTTGGACATAGTCTG